GTATGTGGGATCCGAACCCTCGGCGGGAGCGCCGCCGCGCTTCCCAAGTGGCGCACTATCCAGTGCGCCACCGGGCCGGCCCGAAAGTAGATTATTTTAAGGGACACAGAAGACTTTTTCTTTCCGAAAAGAGAAAAAAAATGAAAATATCAAGCTTTTCTTTTTCTTTCTTTCTTTTTTTTAAAGCTTTTCTTTTCTGGGGAAACACACACACACACAAAAAGTTATGTGTATGTATAACTTAAAAGACTAAAATCATGTAAAATTTTCCAATTGAATAAATTAAATATAAAGTTCATTTTACTGTAAATAGTCCTGAAATATCTATAAGCCTATATAGTCACATTTACACTCTGGGGATAATGTCTGGAGTCTTAAGCACTTCACAGTTTCTTCACAGACTCAAACTACACTGTTATCACAATTACAAACATCTACTGAATACCTACTATGTGTCTCTAGGAATGTAAGAATATCTTCCTATCCTTGAGAAGCTGACATTGTAGTTGAAGAGACAAATACAAAAATAAAGAGTTTAAATAAGGTACAATAAGAGCTGGCCAATTAGCTCAGCTGGTTAGAGCATGGTGCTGATAACACCAGGGTATGGGGTTTGATCCCTATACTGGCCAGTCTTCCCCCTGTTGCCCCTCAAAGCCACACAAGTTTCTGGACCCCACTCCTGGAGTTTCTGATTCAGTAGGTCTGGGCTGGGGACCAAGAATTTGCATCTCTAACAAGTTTCCAGAGGGTGACGGTGATAATGCTGGTCCTGGCTCCGTATTTTAAAAGATAAAAAAGGATACAATAAGCCGCAAATGAATGGCACAGATTACTAAATTCTATGGGAGTAGAAAGCAAAGTGAAATTACAAAGGGGAGTGGAAGGCAGGATGAGCTTTGAGGAAAGTGAGGCACATAGTAGTTAGGTAAGGTAACGTGCCCAAGGTCATAGATATTAAACAACAGAGCTGGTTCAAACTTCTGGCCTTGATGCCCAATTCTATTCTTGATAAAGTCTCCACTTTGTAATGGTTAAGAATGTTTGAAAAGATTGATAGGTAAAAAATTATAGACAACCACGGTCATCAAGCTAAGAAAAGTAATAAAATGGTTACTTACATACATGTCATACATTCAGTTGAAAGCTAATATATATAAGGCTTTCACATCTAGAAAATTACATTTAGATGGTCCAGCATTATATTTATTAAAATGACCAAGAATATGTTAAAATGGATAGGGAAACAGATCATTAATGCTAACTACAAAATGAAAACAGTGTTTCCATATTGATACATACCTTTCCTATCTTTAGACTTTAGTGCAGTCACATGAGCAAGCTAGAAAACATACAAAATGCAATCAGAAAAAAAGCCTTAGAGTTTATAAAGAGATGGTTAATAGAATTATAACTTCAGGCTCGTCAGTTAGCTCAGCTGGTTAGAGTGTGGTGTTATAACACCAAGGTCAGGGGTTCGGATCCCCGTACTGACCACCCACCAAAACAAAAAACAAAAAACAACTATAACTTGAAAAGCTAGCAAGTTAGAGAAGACTATAAAATGCAGAATTACCAATTTAATAAGAATAACTACTAACCACTAAATATATTTTATATGGGCACACATATAAGATCATGATCAAATACCCAAGTAGGGAAGAAGAATATAAAAATTCCTAAATTAGGTTGACACTTAATCTAATGGGGATGGGAAGAGGAAGCATGTAAAATTACATGGCACAACAAAATATACAAAGATCCTAGAAATTAACATATGTATAAAAACTAGTTATCACATAGAAGGTCTATTAGAAAATACTGATGTTATATAATGAAGGGCTACAGCAGAGCAGAAGCAACCTAAGATTACGAATGAGCACACTGGCCAGCCTCACACACACACACACAAAAAAAAAAAAAAAAAAAAAAAAAG